GGGCACCTGGTGTAGGCACCGAGCTGAGCCCCAGCCTGGCCCCACTCACCCCCTGCCCCTTGCAGATGTGGCAGGGGATCGACATCGAAACCAAGATGCACGTCCGCTTCCTCAACATGGAGACCATCGCCCACTGCTACTGATCTCCAGCTCCCTCCTGGGAGAGAGAGGAGGAGGAGGAGGAGGAAGAGGAGGAGGAGGAGGGGGAGGAGGAAGAAGAGGATCTGCAGCAGCTCCATGTTCCTGGCACCAAGCGCTTCGTACCCGCCCGCGTGCCTGTCCCGTAGCGGGGCTGCCTTCTGCTCTCTAGAAACATAAGAGGCTTTTATCTGTAATAAAAGGTATTTCTCTTTTTACTCCCTGCTGAGACAATACTCCGACCATCCATCACCCAGGGCCTGGAGGAGGTCTCTCCCTGTGCAGAAAGCCTCCACAATCACAGAATCACAGAATCGTAGTGGTTGGAAGGGACCTCAGAGATCATTGAGTCCAACCACAAAAAAAACAAAAACAAAACAAAACAAAACAAAAAAAACCCCACCACCTAAACACACAACAACAACAACCAAACCAAAACCATCACCCACCCACACAACATCCCACCACAAACCAATAATCTTGGGCACTAGAGCATGCCCTGAAGAGCCATGTCTACACGTTTCTTAAATCCCTCCAGGGATGGTGACTCCACCACCTCCCTGGGCAGGCTGTTCCAGTGCCTGACAACCCTTTCAGTAAAGAAATGTTTCCTAATATCCAACCTGAACTTCCCCTGGCGCAACTTGAAGCCATTACCCCTTGTCCTATCGTCTGTAGCTTGGAAGAAGAGACCGACCCCTGCCTCTCTACAGCTCCCTTTCAGGTACTTGTACAGAGCGAGTACAAATCCTGGTTTCCCCTTCAACCTGAATTTTTAGGCTGCTTTGGGGAAGGATCTGCTCCCCTTTCCCCCCACTTTGTGCTGTGAGCCCCCCCGAGCCCCATCACCAGGGGGTACCAGCAGACAGGGACGGGGATGCTGAGGGGCAGGAGGTGAAGGCAGCGATCTCAGCACCTGGAAGGGCAATCCCATCCCTCCCTGCATCCCGGGAGATGCTCAGGCCAGCGAAGGTGGTGGCAGCTCAAGTGATAACCCCAAATCAAACCCAAACCAGCCACCTGGGCTGTGCCTGCTGGCAGGAGGGGCAGCAGGGACGAGGGGGGGACGGGGGGCTCCTGGCAGCCGGGTGGCTCCTGCCCCCGCATGTTCCCGCTAGAACAAGGCACCGGAGATAAGGGTTTGTTTACGGGAATTAATACCGGGATGGCTCCAGGCGGATTTCTGTCTCTAAGGCAGCCTGAGCCGGGGAAGGGAGGGGGGGGAGAAAAAAAAAAGGGCAACGGCTATTTTTAGAAAAGCTGGAAAGATTTGTTTGTTTTATCAAAAAATAGCTTCCCCCGGTGACATGTAGGCTCCACGGAAAAAAATAGCCCCCCTCCACAGCGTGTGAGGGAGGGCTGGGGGGAGCGGTGGATGCTGAGCCATGGGCAACCCCCCCTGTCCCCCCCCCCCCCCCCGCGCTCAGGACACAATTTTTCCTTTTCCTCTGCATTAACCAGGGGTTTCTGCAGTGCCCGGGCGTCCCTGTGCGGAGGGCACAGGTAAGGACTCACCCTCATGGGCTTTGGCAGCTTTGCCCCTCCGAAAAAACCCCTCTTGTCTGTGGGAGCAGCCAAGAGGAGGTCCCTGCTCCCATCTGGAGCTGCTGGACCACAACCCCTGCTCCCCAGCAGCTCCTCAGAGCCAGCAGCCGGTGAAGGACCAGCCCGGGGAAGGACAGCCCTCCCCTGCAATGCAGTGCTGTCCTGGAGAGACCTGCACTGCTCGGCGGCACCCAGGACACGCTGGGGCTCACCCGGCTTCCGAGGGAGCTGCAGGGATGGAGACAATCCCCTCTGGCAGCTCCATGCCATGGAGATGCCACCACAGAGTGTCCCAAAGCCGTGGGCCAGCGGTGCCACGACCGTGGTGTTGGTGGAGCCGTCGTGGTGCTGGCACCTGGGCTCGACCAGGGCTGAGCTCTGGGGCTGGGGAGGGGATGGTGCCCATGGAGGTCCCAGCTCGTCCAGTGTGGCTGGTCAGGCCCTGAGGGTCTCCCAGTGCTGCCCGATTGTGTCTGCAGGGCTGTGGGACTTGTCAGTCTTGTTCTATTGCTCCTCCGGTCAACTCCATCTCCTGGGCTCATCCCCAGCTCCATCTGCATCGGCACCAAGCGGTGCAGAGGGTCAGAGCCTGACCTCCCAGCTGAGACTGAACCTCTTCCTCCTCCTGAACGTCCTCATCCTCTTCCTCCCTGTGCCAGACCCTCCGTGCTCCCTTCTCTCCCCATGTATATGAGAGGACAACACTCAGCTTCTCCTGAAACCATAGAATGGTTTGGGTTGGAAGGGACCTTAAAGCCCACCCAGTGTCACCCCCTGCCCTGGGCAGG